TCGTTACAAGGATAGAATTGTAGAGCACGATAATATTCCCACATTTCTTTACTATTGGCGTGAAGTTCTTTCAGTTCATAATCACCTTCACTAATCGTGCTGCAATATCCACTACTAGTAGACTGTTTTCTCATCATGACAATTCACTTTCGAGGTTTTTGTAAATCAGCATTGGTTTCAAACAACCCATGCTTTTATTATTAATTGACTGAATCCAGGCGAAGGATGCCTTGTTTCTGCAATAATTGGTTAATTCAGCTCGTAAATCCTCAAAAGTCAGAATTATTTAGCATACTAGTCACGCTCTTTGCCGATAATAATCCACGCGTATTCTTAACAAATGCGAGCAATGACGATAGAAAAAAGTCGATCGAAAAGTCCATTACCTTTATTACCTATCGATCACAGTCATAAAGGTACCAAATCCACTTTGTCGCTGGAGTTCAAAGCTAGACTTCTGACGATGGGACACAAATAATATCGACTTTCTTAACTTATTTCTCACACACACATATATATATATATATATCAAGTAATATTACTAACAAAACCATCCGTGGCCTATTTTCGTCGTCAGTCAGTTCCACCATAGGTTGGGAAAACCCGAGATTTAGAGTAGAGTGGAGTTGATAACTGAGCTTAAAGCTCTATCACTTGAATTACGGACTCACTGTCTGGTAGTCACAGTTGAAGGTATTCATATGCAGAGCGAGGACTTTCATCGACCTAGTACTTAAAATGCTACAACCCGCTCTATTTAACTGCGAAGAGCAATGGTGGCCGAGCAACTCAAGGACATCAGCCATTCCGATCAAATTGACGCAATAAGTCAGCGGATTTGGCTGCCAATAGAAAGAAATGGTGGCTCGACTTCAGCCCCGGAGGGCAACGGAGACTGATGTCGACTTCATTGGAGGAGCGGAGCAGCTCACTGCCCTGAGTATGTTCGTGCGGTCATCGCACATAGGCTTCGACCGTTAGCATTGTTTACAGCGACAGCCTTCATGGTTGCCACAAACCCCAAACGGAAATGCAACCTGCAACAGATGTGGGCGCACATATCGAACGCCTCTGACGATGTCCATTTACATGACAATAGGTGGTTTATCTCATGAAATATAATCAGAAATATGAAATGAGCTTTCTATTAGAAAGGATTACCTAGGGGCGGGTATTTCGGGGGCGGGACGATGCTTTATCGAAGGCCAACATGTTATGGCCAAGACGGCATCTTGTCTAACCGAAGTCACCCCCGCCTCCCATAGGGCGAATAATGGTCCAACCAACTCTTTCCAATATATGAACCACAGGTAGATCAGGAGCCAGTGTCAATCGCGATTTCAATTGTGACTGTGAAAATTATGATGGCCTGTAACGACTCTACAGCGCCTTCTACTTTCTGCGGTACGCCATGCATGAGGTCACGTGATTGCAGCTCTAGGTTCGCCTCTGGGACAGCCAATCACAGGTGTCGCAAACTGCGCCAACAATAAACATCTCACGTTGGCTAGCAAATGCACACACACCAAGGCCTGTCTCCGTCAATCCGATCTGGTCATCCACCTCCCCGAGGCTGGCTCATACAGGACCTTACCGCGACGACTGCCAGGCTCACACACTTCGGACGCGACCCTCTCGCGAGTGCTTGTGCACTTGTCCGACAACCAACTTTCTCCTACCTATTCTCCACTACTTCCATGCAGAATACACTATGCCTCCCATCTGGCGTCTCACTTCTTCTCTTCCCACTTTGAACCGGGCCTGAAGATCGCAGCGTCAACGGTCTCCCCTATTAATTTAAGCCACTGCGATAGGCCTAGTGAGAGATTCCGCAGAAAAGCATGTTCGGTTAAGTTGTCTTCCACTCAGGAAAACCGTTAGGCCTATTGCTTCCCCTACTGTCCTGACTGTAGAGCAGTGGTTTCGCACTGGGTTCGTATGGAGGGCACTAGTTGGTCACTTTATGCCTGAAAACTGCAATCAGACAACGCCAGCAAAATTCTACCCTCCGGGCGACATACAGCAGTGTACAAAAGATGAGGCGCAAACGACGCCACTAGAGTCGGCCACAAGGTGCGGAACACGGTGGTATGCCGTTGAGTTAATCCAACTGGGATACTATTGATAATCGAGACATGTAAAGGAAAAGCTAACGAATTTAGAGCTGATCTCGTGTGGGAACGAGAGCAAAGGAAATGAGAAAGCTTATGCACCAACAGGTGCGGTGGAATTGGAGGGATGGAGGACCACCCGAAAATCTTACACGGCAGACGGAAATAGGAAGACCGCGTCTATACCGTGATGATAAACTGCAGAAACTACAACTGACACCAATATACTGCTGTCAAATAGACATTTTCTAGCCAATCAACGCCCACAGTGTACTCTCCTCATACAAGGGGATGAACTTTTGACAGTGCGTGAAAACTGTCCCCGAAGCCCACCACGACTACTGCTACCGATAGTTCGGCCGTCGATTTCGACGATGTCCACCGCGTGATCTAGCAAGCCAAAGGCAACCGCAGGGAGATGCGCGCGAATTAGTTTTAAGTGATAGCAGACTTGCGAAGCATCTACTGACCCTTTCTTCTCTCACCTACTTGAGCCCGGTGTCAAGACACAGTCGAGAAGACCGGAGGTGGGATCGAGACTGGCACGACCGAAGTCGCTCCACCACAACCACCAGACCCACAGAAGTGCAGCCAGTAACGACCCGATCCGAGCACGGCAACTCAGCCTAATGGCAGCTGCGAACTCTGGGTCTCGTGCTATCACTACGGGTTAAAAACCCACATCTATCGCTGTTGACACA